CGCGACGCATCGCCAACCTTCCCCGTCCACAGCAGTGTGGGCGAGGTCTCCGGCAAGGAGACACGGGGCCAGAGGTTGAGCTGATGCGCGGCATACCGGACCGCAAACAGCCACAGAAAATGGGGGGCAGCCGCATGGATCATGGAGGTACTAGCGACCTCCATGACCAAGCCAATGCGGCGCTCAGCAATCCCATTCTGCTGCGGAGAGGCCGGAAGCGTGAACGTCTGGCGGATGCCGTGCTCTGCACAGAAGGCTGCCTAGAGGTCGGAGGAGAACTCACCACCTCTGTCAGAGTGCAGACGCAAGACAGGAAAGTCCGACTGGAACCGCTCGCGGAGCTGGAGACGAACAGCGCGGATCCAGGGGATCAAAACATCAGGGACCTCCCCCTTGCGCTGCAAGGGGAAGACCATGGTGTAACGCGTGTAGTCGTCGACGACCAGCAGGAAATACTGCTCGTGGCCCTGTCCACGGACGCGGGCTGGGCCCCACACGTCCAGGTAGAGAGTCTGCAGTGGAGCCTCTGTGGGAGGGAACGAGGAGGAGTGAGGAGCGGCGCGCCGCCCCTCGACGCAAGGAATGCAGGGCGGCGCAGGCGAGGGAGGGAGGGCAGGTTGAGACCTGGGAAGGCCAGAGACCAGGAAGCGAGAGTGCGAAGGCGAGGCAGGGAGGGGTGACCAAGGCGGTGGTGCCACAGGAGAGTGTCGTGCGACAGGCGGCGACACTCACACTGGGTAGCTACCTGAGCAGACGCGTACAACTGGGGAGACAAAGGGGTGTAGCGTGACGCAGTGGTGAGGGTGTACAGACTGGACCCAGGCGCACGTGTGAACGTGGCTAGGTGACGGCCGGTCCGGGAGCACGTGCAGATCGCCACACGCTGCCCTCCAGGAGTAAAGGTGTCAACCCAGTGATCCTGAAGGACGGCGTTGCTCACCAAGTTCGTAGAGAACGAGCGGAGGTGGAGACCAGACAGCTCACCAGACGGGACCTTCGGACACGGAAGCACAGTGGAAGACCGTGCAAGCACTGGGTCCCCAGAGGGGTCAGCCAGTGAGACAGGTACAGGTGCATGGAGGGGAGTGACTGTGGTGTTGTCGCGAAAGAAACAGCGGGAAGCACCAGAGTCAAGTGTGAAGGTGTGCAAGGCCTGTGCGAACGCAGTACTAGGGGGAGCAGACTCACAAGCACCTAGTGCCACAGGCGCTATATTTGGGGCTATACCGGGGTCAGGCGGCACACACAAGTAGCAGTCACCCTCAGCACTAACAGTCAATGCATACATGGCAGCAAGAATAGCCTCATAGTCAAGATCAAAGATAGGTACATCACGCCTAAGCAGGTCTGCCTAGTTGGGGAACTCAGTAGCATCAGGAAACTTGACGCGCCAGGCGTCGCTAAGCCGAGCGAAGCAGCGGTACTCAGTGTGAAACCCTGTGCACTGGCGACCAGCGCGGGGACCTGTGCGAATGATATAGGGGCAGCGACCAGGACCCCCAGACGCCCCACGCCCGGCATACCAGTCAAGAAGCTGCTGGGAAGTGGGGGTCTGGCGCTGACGCTGCTGCGGCTGCTGCTGCTGCTGCCCCTGGCCACCACTGGTGTCACCCAAGCCCCCACCACCGCTGCCACCACCACTCCCCCCTCCGCTACCACCGCCGCCGCCACCGCCACCGCTCCCGGCACCACCACCGCCCCCACCACTACCTCCACCCCCACGACCACCGCCACCTCCTCCACCACCCCCGCCGCCTCCACCACCGCCCCCTCCACCGCCACGTCCGCCACCCCTGCCACCCTTGCCTCCCTTGAAGCTGCTGCGCTTCCCACTCGGAGCGGAAGCAGCTGCGACCTTCTCAGCACCAAGGAGGTCGACAGCAGCAGCTGCGGAGGCGTAGGAGGGGGTAAGAGGGGAGGGGGAGCACCCCTCAAAGAGGGGAGTGCGGGGAGTACCACGAGCAGCACCTAGAGCTAGAATGTTCTTCTCGGCTGCTAGGAGGTGCTTCTCGAGGTTATCGACAGTGAGAGAATGGGGGTCAAGGGCGAGGAAGTGGTCCCTGACTGAGTGAAGAGTGTCAGGGAGGCGGGTGATGAGGAAGTAGAGAGTAAAGTACATCGGGGGGTGGTTCTCTGCGAGGAACTCGGCTGGAAGGGCGGCACGAAGGCGACTGTCACTAGCGCGTAGGTGAGAGATGAGGTCCTCAGCGGTGGTAAACGAGGACAGGTCGGGGAACAGATAGGGTAGCATAAGTCGACCGAGGGCTGCAGTGGCCGGGGAAGAGTAGCGGGCAACTACAGCGTCGTACAGTGCCTTGGCAGTCTTGTGCTGGTTAAAATGCGCGCGCTCAATGATCGGCAGATGGTTGCGAATAGCGAGGCGCGCAGCAGCATCGCGGGTCTGCCACTGGGAGCGGTCTAGAGCAGGCTCAGTGTCAGCAGGAGCAACGGCAGTGCCAGTCACGTAATCGAACAGGGGAACACCGTCCTTGGCATCAGTCAGAAAGAACAGTTGCAGGTCGTCAAGCCGGGTGGTAAACTCTACTGGGCGACCGTCAGGATCGAACGCGAGCACGTTGAGAGTCGCCATGCTTGCAGTGTAGGCAAGTCTAGCGCGCAGGCGGCAAGGCAAAAGGCAAGCAAGGAGAGGCTGCGTGCAAGGCTGCAGTGGCGGCGCACGGACTGCAGTGGCGGCGCACGGACTCCTAAGGCAGCACGGAGGGCAGCAGTGGGCCGCGCTTGGGCCTCTAAAGCGGCGCGTGGTGCAGCAGCGGGCCGCACGCGGGCTCCTAAGGCGGCGCATGGTGCAGAAGTAGGCCGCGCGCTGGCTCCTAAGGCGGTGCGCGAAGCAGTTGCGGGCTGTGCGACCGGAGGAGGCGACGCGCGGGGCAGCAGCGGGCTGCACAGGCGGTTTACGCGGCGCACGGGTCGGCACCAGGCTGCACGGGCGGCTGACGCGGCGCGCGGGGCCGAAAACCGGCTACGCGGGCGGCGGACGCGGCGCGTAGGGCCTAAGCGGGCTGCACGCGGGCGGCTTACGCGGCGCGCGGGCCGGCGGCAGGCTGCGCGGGCGGCTGACGCAGCGCGCGGGGCAGAAAACGGGCTGCGCGCGGGCTGCTTAAGCGGCGCGCGCGGGAAAAAAAAGGGCCGCGTGCGTGCAGCCGAGGCGCGCGCGGGCAGCAGGCAAGGCAGGCAGGCAGGCAAGGCCGTAGGTGAGGTAACACGGTAACAGGTGGGCCCTAATCTTAGGTCGTAAAGACCTACTGCTCTAGATACCATCTTAGAGACTAGGCAAGAATGAGTTTGACTATCGAGAGGTTTGGTACAAGGAGAAAACCCTAAGGGGTTATACCTCACATTATCTACCCCACTACAGCCTACCCACAAATACAACATATGCATATGTTTGACAATTATTAGCGTTTCTGCACAGCTCTTGGGCTTGTGGCACAAGCTTTTTTTTGGATTTTCACTACTCGGATTTCCAGAGCTGTTTTCTAGGGAACTCTGAAATTCAGGGTATATTATGAGCGTACTCTGATTTGTCAGAGAAAACTTAACTTCTGAAAAATATACTCTGGGCTATCAGAGATACTATGTTTCCAACTCTGAATGTCCTCTCAACTATTGAAGCCAGGCCTTCTGCACTCCTACTAAAACTGTAACTATTGTGCTACGCGCTCACTATGTACTTTGATGACGGTTTTAATTTTATGTTTACCTTACTATTGTGCCCAGGGATTTTTTTATCAGAGTAAATTACTCTGTTTCTCTGAAAATCAGAGTGGTTTTTAGGGGGTCACTCTGACGTGTCTGGGTAATTTTTTTGGAAGATAAGTTTTCTCTGATTTGTCAGGGTTCTGATTTTAGCTACTCTGAGAGACCAGTGTATATTTTTGGCGAAGGTATTTTTCTCTGTACAGGGTATAGGCATACAGCTATATTAAATCCGTCAGCAAGCGGATTTGTAAGCGCGTAGTACAACGGTTAAAATTTTGGTACGAGGGCAAAAGGCCTGGGTTCAATACTTGAGAGGACATTCAGAATTGAAAAGATAGCTACACTGACTGCCCAGAGCATATTTTTCAGAAGTTAAGTTTTCTCTGACAAATCAGAGTAACGCTCATAATTAACCCTGAATTTCAGAGTTCCCTAGAAAACAGCTCTGGAAATCCGAGTAGTGGAAATCCAAAAAAAAGCCCTGCTTGTGCCCACTCTGTCTCACTTGCTGGTTGCTTGACGTGCGCTTGTTGTGCACTGCTAAATATCTTTATACCTGCATGTCTACTCTTGCTAGGTTGTGATCAGTGTACTGCCTTGCTATTATAAATCTGCATGTGAACTGGCCTTGCGGCCGCTTGCTTGTGCTCAAATTGTGTGGTGTCCTTGAGATCCACCCTAGGCTTTGCCTTGCTTGTTCTCTTGCTTAACTGGTCTTGTGTGACCACTGTTAGATTTGGCTATACCCTACTTCAGCTATGGGGGTGTGTCAAAACATAAGTATGTTCATAGCTTTCTAGGCTATGTAGGCGTTATCCTTAGAGCGTATTCCTATCCTCGTATCAAGAAAACCTCATATCAAGATTGTACTTTTTGCCTGGTAAAAGTAGCGAGAGGTTTTGGGTTTAGGGGAATTTTCAGTGGGAGGTTGATATGAGGTTTTCTTGATACGAGGATAGGAATACGCTCTTAGAGGGTACAACACATTGTTCAATAGTCTTGTACACCCCTCCCCCCTTTACCTAATCGACACTCCTTTCTCACTAGATTCTAACAGAATGAGAATGAATAGCAGCAATGAGATACTAGTGAACCCTAAATGGGTTGTACCCTCTCGAGTGTACCTCACTGTAGCCTATGACCAAACAAATGTATAGTTCGACAGTAACATTGGATGTTATAAACATCATAGCACAGTTAAGGACACCAGGTGTGTCGTGGTGGTGGCGTGCACATGGCCAAACGCAATAGAAGCTTGAAGCAGGCCTTTTTTCTCCGAGTCACCCATCCCTGACCACTCGCACACTGGCGAAGCCAAAGCTCTTGAGCTCCCTCATGGCTTGCTCTTCAATCTGGATGCTGCGCAGCGACGATGCCCTTTCCCCCTCCTCAACCCCCTTGTACCACCGGCTCTCCGCCTCCACTGCAGCAGGGGCAAACCCCCCGCATGTCGTGGTGGTGCCAAGAGCAACAGCAGCAGACGTGCTTCCACCACTACCAGAGGCACGCGTGCGGGCAGATGAGCCATGGGGAGTGGCGGATACGGCAGGAGACGAGGAAGCCGAGAAACGGCTGGGTGAGGGCGAGGGAGCTGGGGAGGATGGGGAGCATGTGACGGGAGCAGAGGCAGCAGGCCGTTGTGGTGGCAGTGCCGTTGGTGGTGTGGCAGCATGGGATGGCGACGCGGAGAGCATGGCAGTGGTGGGGCTGCCCCATGAGCCGGAGTGCTGCGCGCGACGTCGTGAAAGCTCCTGGTGATGGGCGACAGGCACAACGCACACAATGGAAATGGAGGGGCACTCAAGTAGCACGGCATGGAGCGAAGAAGAAGTACACAGACATACCATAAACAATGCTGACATAAGGAAGCGCACCTGTTGCTGCTGAATCTCCACCAGTGAAACAGGCTGACGTGCACCCCCTCCTCCGTCCCCTCCCCTGCCCACCCCCCTGCCGATGCTCATCCCCTGGCTGCGCGCCATGGGCTCGTCTCCCACCGTGCCCTCGCCACCACGCTCCTTGGCCCACGGTGCCACTGCTGCTGCCCTTGCCTTGCCCGCGCCGCCACCAGCATCTGGGTGGTGGGCCTTGTGTTGGGTGGACGCCTTGAGCAGCTCCCCCAGAGACACTCTAATGCTCGCTGCCACTCCACCACCCTCGCCGCCTGACCACCCCCCTGCCCCCTGTGCCGCGCCTCCTGCCTCTCGCTCGTGCCCTGCTTGCCCAGGAGATGCGCTGTGAGGGGAAGCTGTCGACACGAACCCCAGCAACCCGGGTGCACCGCCCTGCTGCCCCCTCTGGCCCCGCCGCCCGTTGCTGCCTGTGCGTGTGGAGGCGGCCCTGCCCACGGCACTGACTGCATGTGTGCTGCCCATGGACCTGCCACCGCTGCTGCCACTGCCACTACTGCCTCCAGCAGAGGGGCCGTGTCCAAGGGGGCGGGAAATGGATGCAGGTGCAGTGTGCAGCACTGCCCTGCTGCTGTGCTGCTGCTGCTGCTCACTCTGAATGTCGCGCAGGGAGCGCGCGGGCGAAGCCTCTGTAGGGGCAGGCAGAGCATCGGGTGGTGCAGGCTGGCGAGAGATGCCCCATGCAGGCTTGGCGGGCGACGGGGAGGAAGAGGGTCCCGCTGCCCCACGTGCAGGAGCAGGCGTGGCAGGCGCGGTGGAGGCGGTAGCGTCACGTTCCAGGTCACCAGCGAGGAACAGCGACAACCCACCCTTGCGCCCCTTCTTCCTCGCCGCCTTCTTCCCACTGCCACCGCTGGCACCACTGGTAGTGTTGGTGGCAGCAGTGGTGTGAGCAGCAGCGCCTGCCATTGGTGGTGACGCAAAGAGCGCTCCACCAGCGGGCAAAACCACACCCACTGTGGATACAGAGCCTCCTGCTGGATGGATGCTGCCAGGCCCGGCAACAGGTTCGGCGGGGCCAGGAGAGGCAGATGTTGCACGCGGTGCCTGGCCAAGGCAGCAGGGCGCAGCATTGAGGCAGGGGAACGGAGAGCACGATGGGTTTTGAGGCACGATGGGTAGTGGAGGTGCTGCGAGCAAATGTAGCAACAGGAAATTCTCGCAAAGCAGGCACTACAGGAGCTTGGGATTCCATACGGGAGCACAAGAGAGGAGCAGTAATGCAAGCAGAGTGGAATAAAATGCACCCCACCTTCTCCCTCTCCTGGCCCTCTGACTGCCTGTTAGGAAACCCCAGCCCTCCTTTTTTCCCACTCTTGTCCTTCCCTGCTGCAGCTGTGCCAGCACCCTTGCTGGGAGCGGTGTTGTTGCTCCTGTGTGTGGCAGCAGCGTGCACGGCCTCGCTCGCACTCCCACTGCCCCCCACACCACTTCCACCACCCGCACCCGCAGCACCAACACTACCAGCAGCAGCAGAAGCAGCACGGGCGGCAGCAAGAGCAGCAGCAGCAGGCCCACCGGCCTCCAGCACGGCAAGCACCTTCTCCAGCTGCGCCCTGCCCGCCACCTTCGCCCTCTGCTGTGCATCCAGCACCTCCCCTCCCCTCCGCCGCCCCTCCAGCATCTCCACCTGCTGCAGCTTCTTCCGCACCGCCCTCACCTGCCGCGCCACCTCACCCTCCGCAGCTGCGTCCACTCCCGAGCCTCCGCCGAACCTGGACGTGATTTCCAGATCTGCATCGAGGCCTGAGGGGATGAGCGCGGCCAAGGGGTGGGCGGAGAGGGAGAGGCCGGTATGGCGTGCCATGTGGAGCGCCGAGGCCAGGTCGGGGGAGGGGGTGGCATGCCACGTGGTGCTGTGGGCGTGGGCAGTGGCATGCGGGTTGGAATCGAAGGAATGAGAGTGCAGGTGGTCTTGGTAGTGAGGCCACGGGTGCTGCTGCCCATACTCGTGCATCCCCTGCTGCTGCTCCACGGCCGCCCCCTCGTAGCCCTCGTCGTGGTCGTCATCACCCAGCACAGGCTCGTTGGGTGCCGTGGCCGTGGGCAGAGCGCGCGAGAGAGCAATCAGTGGCGGAGCGGGGGGGGCAGAGGAGGAGGCGGAGGCGGAGGAGGCGGAGTGGGCGCGGGAGGCGGCTTCGAGGTGTGCGAGAACGTAGGGCGGGCAGAGGGCGAGCTGCTGCGGGGCTACTGTGGCTATGAACGCCAGGTTCGCCAGTGCCAGGCGCTGGGGGCGGAACGGGGGGCGGAGGGGGGGGGGGGGAGGGGGGGGCGGGGGGGGGGGGTTGGAGAGAGAAATGGCCAAGGGTACAGCGGGAGAGGAGAGAGCGATGTGGAGGAGTGAGACGGAAAAAAGGTTGAGAAAGAGCACGGCAAGAAACGGATGGCACAAACGAGTCAAGATAGCCTTTTTTTCACGGGGCGAGCGCACCTGGCAGTAGGGTGTGAGCAGGTGAGCTTGCACAGCATCGGCGATAGCAAGTACAGGCAGCACGTTGCGCACGTCCACCACGTGCGCTGCTATCACCGCCTCACACAGCTGCTTCAATGGCGCCACCCACCCCTGCCCCTCGCCCACAGCCGCACCGCACCCCGCCCCTCCACCTGCTGCCTCTGTTACTGCTGCAACAGCTCCCATACTTTCACCCACCGTTTCCTCCACCACCCCTGCCCCCCCGACTCCACCCGCCCAGCCTCGTCGCCTCATTCGCCCCCCCAGCTCATGCACTTGCTCCTCCTCGCCCCCCTCCTCATCGTCCTCCTCCACGTCCCCCCTGTTCTCCTCGCCCACAGCCCTCCCCCTCGCCCCACCTTGCTCGCCCTCCACCCCTGCATCTCCAGCCGCCCAAGGCACTGCCGCAGGTGGGGCGGGGAGGGGCGGGGAGGGGCGAGGGAGGGGCGGCAGCAGCACGTGTGCGACGGCGAGGGAGTGCAGGTCGCCCACGGCCACAGCGGCCGCCTGGCAGATGCCAGGCACGCGCTGCACCAGGGGGGGCACCGCTGCACCTCCTGCCTCTGCGCCTGCATCTCCGCCTCCTCCCTCTCCTGCTCTCACCCCCCCCGCGCCTCCTCCGGCGGCAGTGGCGGCAGCAGCAGGCGCAGGCAGGGGCGTGTCCTTCTGGGAGGCGTCCCACACGTACACACTGCCGCCCGCCGTCACCACGGCTGTGCGCCACTTGCCTGCTGCCACTGCCACCGCTCGCTGCTCCGCTAGCGCCAGCAGCTGGGGTGCCAACAGGAGGGTGGGCGATGGAGCGCGCACGGATGGAAGTCGTGCAGGGAGGTCAGCTTATGGACGGGGACGGCTTTCCACGCCATTTGCACACAGGGGAACGCAGCAAAAGATTGCTCACGATATGCTGACAGGGGGCAGGAAGGTGGGTGGTGAGGGGGGGTGGGAGGGAATGGAGAAAGAGCGGGCAGGGGGAGTGCAGCATACCTGGTGGCACTTGAGGAGCGGGTCGTGCGAGCGCCAGTAGAAGACGAGCCCATCCTGTGACAGCACCGTGGTGTGCATGGCGCCCGCTGCCACCGCTGTCAGCTGCACCCGCGCCTGCTGGTGGAAGCGAATCACCCCGCCCCCGCCACCAGCAGCAGAGCCGCCCCCCTTGCGCACGTCCCTCTCCACCTTGACTCGCCGCGGCGTCACCAGGCGGTGCCCCCACGTGTACGCCTGCGAGGGGAGTGCGCGCAACATGGCGAGGAAACCGATGCATAATGTGGGCACACGAGGGCGATACGAGAGTTGAGGCAGCGAGGTGGAGAGGCGGGATGCATGGAGGGATAGGATAGGGGTCAAAAGAAAAGGGACGGAGGAAGCAATTGGGGAAAAGGAGGGAGACGGAAAGACAGCAAAAAAGACGGAGTGTGAAAGAGAGAAGGGGGCAGGAGGGGGTGGTGGGGGTAATTAACCGAGAGGCGAGACGGAGGGAGGGAGCAAGGGTGTATGTGGCGGGCACGCACCTCCCCATCAGCGGTGAGCACGACGGTGTGCCTCTTGGCGGCGGCCACAGCAGCGATGGCGCGGCCCTTGAGGTGGTCCACGATGCGCGGCGTGCAGCTGGACGTGCTGTTGATGCTGCCGTACCCCAGCTGCCCGTGCGTGTTGCACCCCCATGTGAACACCTCCCCGCCCCCCGTCAGCGCCGCACTGTGCTTGTTGCCCGCCGCCACCGCCACCACTCGCTGCCGCAGCGCCGCCACTCGCCGCGGCGTCGCCTGCGAGTCCACTGCCGGGTACCCCAGCCGCCCCTCTGTGCGGCACACATGGTGGGTGGGCAGGTGGCAGAGACGGTTGAGTGAAGAGCAGGCGGGGGGGGGGAGAGAGGAGGAAATTACGGGGCAGGACGGAATAGAGAGCACGTGGCGTTGGAAGCATGGATAAACACGAGGGAAGGGGGGGGGGGAAGCGCGAACGAGAGGGGGAAGAGAACAGGCGGGAGGTGGGGGAGGGGGGGAAGGGAGGAGTGTGGGGACGAGGAAATGAAGAATGCAAGAGCACAAGAGTAACGTAAAACAGGACTCTTCAACACATCTAACTTCCATTTCCTCCCTCTTTCTCTCACGTCTGCTCCCTCTTCCCGAGCCCTCCTCTTCCCTCCCGTCACGTCACGTCCCCTCCCCTCCCGTCCCCTCCCCTCCGCTCCCCTCCCCTCCCCTCCCCTCCCCTCCCCTCTTCTCCCCTCCCCTCCCCTCCCATCCCTTCCCCCACCCTTCCCCATGCCACCCGCTGTGAGTGAGCGCACCGCGGTTGGAGCCCCAGGAGAAGAGCTCCCCGGTGTGCGTGGCGGCCAGCATGTGGTGCTTCGCCGCCGCCACCACGCGCACTGGGCGCCCGCCCAGCCCCGCCGTCACATGCCGGGGGAGAATCACCGCCACCTGCCCACTGCATGGGCGGGGCGAGGCAGGGCGGACGGGTGTACCAGAGCGTGGCTTAACGAAACAGGGCTGACGCACACAAAGCACGCCGGAAACTGCACGAGGAACACAAGCGAGCTCAAATCCAACAACGATGTCTTCCCTTCCCCCACGCCCTCTCTCCGCTCTCAGTCCCCCCTCTTCCTTCCCCATTACCCTTCCCTATCCCCGTCCCCGACCCGTCCCCTTTCACCCCCCCATCCCCCGCCCCCAGTGCGCACCTGTGCACGTCGAAGTCGGGGTGCCCCAGGCGTCCGCCCCGTCCGAAGCCCCACGTGAGCAGCTCGCCGCGCGCCGTCACCGCCGCGCTGTGAAACCGACCCGCCGCCACCGCCACCACTGCAGCCACCGGGCCTGCAGCCGCACATGCAGGTGGCGGGGGTGCCGCGGCTGCTGCCAGGTGCATGGACGGCGCGGCGGAACTGGCAGCATGTTCCCCGTCGCTCACACTCGCAGCACCATCGCCCGTGCTGCCGGTGGTGGTGAGGCCGTCGATGCGCGCGGGGGTGCGCTGAATGCGCGTGGAGCCCGTCCCCAGCTGGTAGTTGGCGCCGTTGCCCCATGAAAACACCTCCGCCTGCACCTGCGCGCCCACGGGGAAGGATGCGCCCCGCAGAGACGCGCGCGGGGACTCTGCGGTGGAGGGAGAGGCGGAGTCGCGCGAAGGAGCAGAGGGAAGCTCGCCGACGAAGGGAAGGGTGTCAGGGGCTGCGCGGAGGGGAGGAAGGGGTGTGCGGATGTGAACGAGAGAGCTACCGATTGAACTTGGGAGAGAAGCGGAGGGAGGGAGAGAAACAAGGCTTGGGTACCCCATGCGCACGCCGTACCTTGGTGCAGCGGGCGCGGCAGCAGCTGCAGCGGCGTGCGGCCCAGGGCGTCGAGCGCGGAGAGCGAGGCGTTGTGCGCGAGCAGGCGCCCCATGACCGCCCAGTGCCCGAAGTGACACGCGCGGTGCAGCGCCGTCCACCCCGACTCCCAATCCTGCGCGCGGCACGGCGCCGACCACCCCGACAGATCGTACGAGCGGCACGGCGGGAAGAGGCGGAATGGAGTGGATGGTTTAAAGAGAGCGCATGGTGGGGGCAAGCGAAAACATGCGAGCGGAAGTGGGGACATGCGATGGGCCTGTCACTGCGCGTGGTGCCATCCGTGTCCCACGGGCCTCACCGCGGCGTCGGGGTCGCACCCCAGCTCCAGCAGCCGCGCCACCACGCCCACGTGGTTCTGCCACACCGCCGCGTGCAGCGCCGTTAACCCGCGGCTCGACCGTAGCCCGCTCAGCGCCTCGTCGCGCCCCATCCGCGCCGCTCCCGCTGCTGCCGCGCCGCTGCTGCCAGGATAGGAGGGCCCCTCCGCGCTGCCCGTGCGCTGGCGCCATGCGGCGATGGCGGCGTCGAGTGCGGGGACGGATCGCCGTTCTATCGCCGCGAAAATGGCGGCAGGAGTACCAGTGGAGAGGGAGGAGGAGGGCGCGGAGGATTGAAAATACAGGGAGGAGGGCGGGTGTGCGAAGGATGTGAGCGGGGAGCAGGGGGCGGGCGAGGGCGACGAGGCTGCGGACAGGGAAGAGGGCGCCGGATCGGAGTGGAACGACTTGCGAAAGGCCGGTGACGTCATCTTGCTGAATAACTGGGGGAAATCAAAGAGGCGAACGGGCGATCTAAATGGACTGGCGTTTGCGACGTCTCTACAATGGATCCACTCCCTCCCAGCGCGTAGAGCCCTATCTAAGCGGCCCAGATTCCAGGCAAGATTCTAAACAGCCGAAGCGGAACTGGGTGGATACGGAAGGCGCGCTCGTGCTTTACCCTACAGATCCCTGGACGGCAAATTGCGGCGCCAGGACGAGGAACGTTGAAATGTCGGAGTTGGCAAGACTTCTTGTCGCGCCGTGGAGAGGGCGACTCGGCAGGCGCCACCTACGCTTGGCACGGCACGGCGTGGGGTCTTTGGTATTGAACAACGCTCGAGCGCCGGGTAGGGCAGGCGGCGGTGGCGGCAGAGCAGCACGAGCCATGGGTGCCATGGAAATGCTGGATCCGGGCCGGGCAGCCTCCCTCTCCCTGTTCTTCCACGCTGGTTGATTGCGCATGAAAGGGGGAAAAATGGGAGGGGTCGCAGCAGTCCACAACAGCGGGGGGGGATTACTGTAGAGGGCGCGGAGGGGAAGGTTGGGGCGAAAGGGGGAGAAGCGCAGGTGGTAACCACAGGAGGACGCGAACTATTATGCCGATGTTATGATTTGTACTAAACTGTAAGGATTTACAGAATCCTTACTGAGGCACTCGTTAGCGAGGCCATCCCGAGGGTCACGCGACGAACCTGTCCTTCCTATTTCGTCGCACCGAACCACTCCCGAGTCGCCTCCGCTCCAAACGCAACCATCACCGAGCCATCCTCGCCCAACCTCTCCGCCTAGCTAGGACTTCCCCTATTTAGTCGTGCCTTTCTCATTGTATCGTCATTCGGTAATCAGTTCATTCTCGTTATTCGATATTCTGCGCACTCTGCAAGTTCATTCATAACATAAACAGAGTGAAGTGACGACTTTATAAAGAGATTGTGAATACAGAATGCATGAACAATGAAGACAGCGAGCATTTACAGGGCGAATGCGTGCTTGGTGAGAACCTCGTGATGTGTGAGGTTTGGAAATGTCGCGATTGGTGCGGGGCGTCTCGGCGTTGGTTCGGTGCGAAAGTGTAGGCCGAGCCACACTGACGCGAACTGCTCGGGTCGGGACTGTCCTCGCTAAGGACGGCTCTACAGTAATGAATTGTTTATTCATTACACTCTCCCACCTTCTAAATAAGGTACCCTTATCCATAGCCGAGTCTTGCAGTAGCGTGAAAACTGCAGATCTTCGGTTGAAACTGATATGATGGTGCAGACAATGGTTAACCGTCGAGCTGACGCGTGGCTGAGCGCGATGACCAAGCGAAATTCAAAGAGTTGGAATGTCATCCGTTGATACTGCCGAGTGTCGATCGGGCGGTGGTGATTTGAACGATGTTGGCGGGTGTTCCTGACGCGATGGTTGATATGGGCGAACAGGAACTGTCGATGGCGATGAAGAAATCATGGGCGTAGGTCGTGCCGAGCGAGTCTGACGAGACTTTCAGAAACTGCCGAGTATAGTGCGAAAAATATATGGGGGCCCAGTAGTAGCACGTGCCTCCACCGTTCTCCCATGTCCGGCAGCCCCTTCAGACTCGCTTGCAGGTCTCTATCTCCCCTCGTCCACTACGAACTTGTCGAGTAACGCTGTCCTCCAGGTCCAGTTTATCACAGTGACTATTTCTGGGGTGGGCTTGTGGCGATCTGTACGGACTCACGGACTAGCGCCCGCATCGCCGCGTTCATTCGGAGACCCGGGTCTGGCCTGTACACACTGACCACTGAGTCTGCATAGGTAGCTGCGTCGGGTCAGGTAGCTGCGTCGTGCTCGTGTCAAGTTCTCACGCACCAAACTCTCCTCTGGCACCACCGTCTTGGTCATTCCTCCCTGCCGCGTCTGCGTAGCATGCACTCTTGTCTCTTTCTCTCTGGCCTCCCCAGGTCCCTGCCCCCGCTTCTGCGCTCGCCTGCACCGCCGTGCCTTCCCTGCGTCGAGGGGCGGCAGCGCGCCGCTCCTCACTCCTCTCGTTTCCTCCGACCACTGCTCCTCTGCAGACTCTCCACATGGACGTGTGGGGCCCCGCCCACGTCCGTGGACAGGACCGAGAGCGCTATTTTCTGCTGGTCGTTGACGACTACACGCGCTACACAACGTTCTTCCCCTTGCAAAGCAAGGCAGATGTTCCCAATGACTTGATCCCTTGGATCCTCGCTGTCCCTCGCCAGCTGCGTGTCCGGTTCCAGTAGGACCTTCCGGTCCTTCGTCTGCACTCTGACAGAGGCGGTGGATTTTCCTCCCGCCTCCTTGAGGCTTTTTGTCGCGAGGAGGGCATCGTCCAGTCGTTCACGCTTCCAGCCTCTCCGTAGCAAAATGGGGTTACTGAGCGCCGCATCGGCTAGATCATGGAGGTTGCTCGCACCTCCATGATTCATGCGCCTGCTCCCCATTTTCTGTGGCCATTTGCGGCCCGACACGCTGCGCATCAGCTCAACCTCTGGCCCCGTGTCTCCGTGCCAGAGACCTCACCTCCACTGTGTTGAACGGGGGAGGTTGGCGATGCAACGGTGTTTCGTGTCTAGGGTTCGCATGCCCTTGTCCGCAATACCACCGCGGACAAGCTCTCTTCTCGCACCATTCGCTGCGTCTTCCTTGGCTTTCCCACCGACGCGATTGGCTGGCAGTTTTACCACCCAGCCTCGCGTCGCATCCTACCCTCCCAGGACGTCACCTTTGACGAGTCGGTTTGCTTCTACCGTCTCTACCCCCACCGCACTATCCCCGTCCCCCCTCCGCCTCTCACTTCCTGGGCCCAGCCCCCCCGGTAGACCCTCTCCCCCCACAGGGTCCTGCTCCCTCAGGTGTGTCTCAGGTAGATCTATCCCCCTTTGTTGAGCCTTTGGAGATCACCTCTGGCCCAGCTGAGGGGGGTGACGCTGCTGCTGATGCCACAGCGGCTACTCGTCGCTCACCACGGTTGGAGACCCCTCCTGGTTTTCCACCTCAGTCGTCTTCGCCGCCTCTGCAGCCTGTTGCTATAGACTCCGGTGCTGCTGGGGGTGGTGACGTTGGGGGTGTGAACTCTAGGGGTGGTGACGCTGTAGGTGATGAGTCTAGGGGTGCAGGCTGGGGTGCTGAGTGTCCTAGTGGTGGTGGAGTCGCTAGTGCTCCTGCTGGAGGTTCTAGGGATGGACAGCAGCAGCAGTCTCGTCGGTAGGAGTCTCTCTCGCCACAGCAGCTTCGCGGGTGTGTTGTTCGGCGGTTTCGCACTAGTCACGGTGCTGGAGGTGCTGGAGGCGCTGAGACTGGAGGTACTGGCACTGGAGGTGTAGGAGGCGCTGGAGCCGTAGGTCTTGGAGCTGACGGTGCTAGTGCTGGAGGCGCTGGAGCTGGAGGTCTTGGTACTGGCGGTGCTAGTACTGGAGGCGCTAGACCTGGAGGTACTCGTGCTCGAGGCAACAGAGCTGGAGGTACTGGAGGTGCTGGAGGCGCTGCGCTTGGAGGTCCTGGTGCTGGAAGTACTGGAGCTAGAGGTGCGGGAGGTGCTGGTGCTGGAGATACTGGAGGCACTGGAGCTAGAGGTGCTGGAGGTGCTGGAGGTACTGGAGGCATTGGAAGTACTGGAGCTGGAGGTGCTGGAGGTGGTGGTGCTGGAGGTACTAGAGCTGGAGGCTTTGGTACTGTTGGTACTGCACAGCGGCGACCGTTTTTCTTGCTGCAGCCTCAGTCGTTACTACCACCACATGGCTTGGCGCTTCGTCCGGTTCCTAGTTTTTCGTCTTCCACTGGCCTTACTCCTCCCTTACTGTGTCCACTGCCTGACCCGTCTCAGACACAATTGCCGCCGGATTCCCCACTACCTGTTCCTTCTCCTTACATTGAGCAGCCAGACTCCCTGACAGAGCGCCGTGAGCCTGCGTCTCGTCCTGCCTCGCCTGTTCGCACTGTTCGTCGTGTTTGTCGTGTTCCTCCACCAGTCCCCGGCACTCAAACTATGACACTTCGTCCTTCCTCTATTCCACATCGTGTTTCTATACCGTCTCCTCCCGAGCCCTCCCTTCCTGGCATTTCTGACCCTGAGTCTTAACTTGCTTGTGTCGTTAGTCCTACTGTCGCACGTGTTCTAGCTACACTTGACACTGAGTCGACTTTTGAGTCTGCCGCTACGTCTATCTTAGTCACTGAGCTTGTTGACTTTGCTGCTGCGTGTCATCTCGACTACGTCGCGAGTCTTGTCACAGGGTCTGAGTTTGACTGTCCTCCGTCCGTCGGGGGTGAGTGTGCCCTTGGCACGGACATCCTTGAGGTTAGGCAGTTTGAGCTCGAGTGTCTTGTGGGTGATATACCTCATCTCGCTGCCATGCTGCTTGCCTCTGAGGGAGACCCGGATGCACTAGACATCTCGACTCCACGCTCTTACGAAAAGGCGATCACGGGTCAGTACTCCTCTCAGTGGCAGACACCCATGGACGCAGAGATGGCATCTTGGAAGTCCACAGGCACTTACATCGATACAGTTCCCCCACCTCGGGCGAACATAGTCGATGGCATATCAATTTTCATGGTGAAGTGGCCGCCGGTTCTCCGCCTGGGGGTCGACAGGAGGCTTCAGTCAGCGACAAGGGGTCGACTTCTTCCAGACCTTCTCCCCCACCCCGAAGATGGCCACACTTAGGGTGTCACTGCACGTTGCAGCACAGCGTGACTACGATCTCCACTCGCTTGTCTTCAGCACAGCTTTCTTGCAGGGCAGCCTACACGAGGAGATCTGGTTGCGCCGCCCTCCTGGCTTCACTGGGTCGTTTCTTGAGGGTACCCAGTGGAGCCTCCGGCGGCCAGTCTACGGTCTCCGCCAGGCGCCCCGCGAGTAGCACGACACAATGAGGATGACCGTTCCGGCTCTTGGGTTTGCTCCTTTGTCTGCTGACCCGTCGCTGTTCCTGCCCACCGACCCTGCTCTGCCGCCGTTCTACATCATCGTGTACGTCGACGACTTGGTCTT